CTGCTCAAAACGCCCGTAGCCTCACGATAAACGCCCAGTGCCTCCGTTCCCTCGACCATTTCGCCGGCCTTTAGTATCATCTCGACCTTTCACGGTCGTTCCCTCTCGTCCAACCCCTCGGTAGTGTTCGTCATTAGCTTACGTCTTAGGTCCTTTCCACAAAAATACCGTTGTTCAATGCTCGAGCCCGTTAGAACTGAATGTCATTGCCCGACCACTCGATCCGTCAACCTGTCGTGGTATTTTACCCGTGGTCGGTGAGCCCCTGTCAGGTAGAAACCAACAAATAGAAACCTTGTAGCGTGCCCTCGTAAAGGAAGTAAAGGGCGGCATAGGGCTGGAGCCGCCCGACAGCACCCCCCCCCCCATTCTCAACGTCCTCGACGAGCGATCTTGGAGTATCGTCTGATTATCGAGAAGGAAAAATTTAATCGGCTAACACCTAATCTGTACTCGGTCAACCCCAAGCGACATATCCCTCTCATAATTTTCTTTCTTCTTTTCGCTCTTGGTGCCTCTCTTTCCACCATCACTTCTTTTCGCTTTCCGCTTTTTATCCCTAGCTTGTCCTTTCAACCACTCCCGCGTTGCCAGATTCGAGCGGACTTTGGTTTTGTCTCGCCACTTGTGGAAGTAAAATTATATTTTGCTCATACGCTTAGTCGGCAGGATCAGTTTGATAAATGCTAAGATACCTCCTTCTTCGAACATCGGGTCTTCGAACTTCTGAGTTTTACCTATCCCGTTTACGAACGTCCTTCTCCTCCTTGTACTCATTCTCCACCCAACCAGTAAGGCTTGAAAGAGTATAGGAAAGACATCGCATGACAGATCGCATGACAGGCTTGTACGGACCCACAAGGAGCTCGCGCCACCATAAAGATCAAACGTAATGAGACGATCAGCCACGCCAAGTAAGATGTCGACATTAAAGTTGCAGCCGTAGCACCAACAACGGAAAGTATAAGCATAAGTTGACACAAGGATGATCAGCAAGAGAAAAAGGAGGCGCAAGTCTTCATTCCAGCCTCGCACCCTTATCCCAAGTTGAAATCCTGCGACCCAATTTCTAGTCTTGATCTAATCATTATCGTCAATAACAGATTTCTTCACTTGAAACCCTTCCCGGAGTTCTGACAGTTCCTTAAATTATCTCGACGTGCTTTTAAGATGGTTAGCATCCTCAATAAACTTAACTTCCACGATGGTCTTTCCTCCGCCTCATTGGTCAAATGAAAGTCGAATCTCATTGTCTTGTCCTTCCAAAAGGTTCCCGACTAATTCTCCTTCAACACTCACCGTCGTGCATTGATCCATTATGAAATCTCCAATATCTTTCATAGTTACCAGCTTTTGACTCTTAAAACTATACCCAACATCGTTTTCGGACGTATCGATTGTCTCCAACAGTTGGGCTCGATCATAGTCCACGTCGGACTCGAGGGTCTCAAACAGTTGTGCAAGCTCATAGCCGTCGTCCGGCTCGACGGTCTCCAACAGTTGGATAAGCCCATAGTCGATACCTGGCTCGGAGGCCTCAAAGAGTTGAGCTAAGTCATAATTGTCATCATGTTCGATGGTCCCAAATAGTTGCACCAACTCATAGCTGACGTCCGACTCGACGATCTCAAAAGGATGAACCAGCTTGTAGCCGACATCCGGGTCAACAGACTCAAATGGCTGGACAAGCTCACAACTCGTGTCCAGATCGGGGTTCTCAAACAGTTGAGCTAACTCATAGCTAACATCTGGCTTGATGGTCTCAGAATGTTGAGCCAGCTCATAGCTGATATCCGACTCTACACACTTCAACGCTGGGGCAAGCTCATAACTTGTGTCTGAGTCCTCTGCCCCCTTGTTTTGAGTATCGTCAGTCTTTTTCAAGCCTCTGCATTCTTCAATCATTGGTATCTCTTCCTGTGTCGTGGTTCGATCTATTCACGTTTCCTGAATAACCTTCGGCCCTTCGCCCCTCGGCGAGACTTTAATATCAAGGTTAGTATTATCGGCTCCATTTTCTTTTGATTCCTCACTCATTTTCTCAGCACATACCGGAGCTGCATCAGAATCTTTCTGACAACTCTCGAACCGAATACTCGAACCCCCAACCGTCAGACTATCATTCGGGTCTGGGTCCTCCTCAAACCGGACACCAGATACCCAGAACTCTCCCTGCTCTGGCTCTTCCACTGTCCTCACTACATTGCTAATACCCATCTCCGTGGAAGTTCGACAGCGTATATCTTCCTCCTCATTCTCACTTGTATTCCGGTCCTCCTCAAACCTGATACTCAGCACTCATTTTTCTCCTTGAATTTTTTGAATCACCTCCTGGGTTGTTCTTGTTTTATCGTCAGTATTCATCTTCGTAAGTCCGCATGATATATTTTTCTTGTCATTCACACATTCGATCTTTCTCCACTCATTTAGCTCGATGGTTTTCCCAGAGTCTTTTTCTCGTATGTCCTGAGGTCCTTGTTGTAAGGGAATCTTCAACCATTCCGCGCTCCTCTAAGGTGGGACATTCTTCATTCTCTTCACCCTTTCTCGTTCGGCCCTTAGGGCTTCAATCTCCTCGACCGTTTCCCATCCTTCCCTATATGATCTCCTTCGCTCTTTCTCTTCTTCTCTACTTCTCCAACGCCTATTTCGAAATCCCCTATCACCTTCCTTCTTCCAGCTGCCGCGGTTTCTTTCTCTCCATTCCCCTTTATCTCTACTTACTTTACCTTTTTCATGCGGTATGAACTCTCTTCCATCCTCATCACCGAATTGTTTTTCTAAATGACATTCGGGTTCTCCTTTCCCTAGTTTCTCTAACACCCCAAGTAGATGAGCTTTGGCATCCAGTCACCCAGTCTGTAAAGCCAACGCCCTAGTCTGAGCGAACGTCACCCATTTATTAGGCATGTTCTCCATAACAAACTTTCTTCTCTCGATAAGCAGAGTTCCTATGAATATGCCGCATCGTTCTATCTCACCGAGAAACCCATTTTCTATCAATGGTTCAGATGCCCTCTCAAAGCGTCTCGCAAATGCCACTAACGTTTTTCCTTCCTCCTTCTTAATCTCCTTTAAATCCTCGACCGAGTATGAGATATCGTCGGATGCAAAGACTCGAGACAATCGTTCTCTGAAAGTTGCCCACTTCCAATCCTCGAGTAAAGCAGCACGCACGTCTTTGTCTAGTTTGAGATCGGTATGATTAATGAATCTCATTATCGCTTCCCGATCAGTCCATCCCGCGCACAAGGCATGAACTTCCCAGTCGTTCAGGAATTCTGTTACCCGATGTCTCGTGAAATATAGAGGCTGACCGAAGTAGGGTGGTTGGTAAAACAAAGGAATGCACAACGGTCCGCACGCCATAGCATATGGACTTGGTCTGCATGGTGGCTCACATCGTCCTTTTCGTCAAGTCTCGCCCTCAAGGATTCCTACTCCGATTGCCGCTTTTACATGAGGAGGTCTGCTCTCAAATTCACTATCCCACCTTTCTCCTCCATCAGAATTTTCCACCGCCATCTTTCTCTCATGAATATTAAGCTCACTCCTCATCTCCGAAAGATAAACCTTCTCCGTAACTTCCCGGCGCTCCTTTTTCAACCCTCCATTAACCTTACTAATCAACAAAGAGATGAAAGGTTGCTCTCTCAGACGCTGTGTAGCCCAACCCGACTGATGAGCACTCGTGGGTCATAGTGTCGGACCGAAGTCACATGCTCACGGAACGGCGGTATCTCCCTCGTGCAATCCTATCTGGCACCATGTGTCTACTCGACCCACCTCAGACATGGATTTACCAGGGACGCGTTCCCCAGACACTGTGTAATGTCCTAATCAGACCTCCCGCTAGCAATCGGATCAACTAGTCTGTCTATTTCCCCCAACTCCTTGCGATCCGGGGCGCTTTCCCCTCCCCTTCAGTCCCTCCAGATCTTCCCCTGCTTACAATTTTCACTCAAAGAGATCTGAATTAGGTGGACTGACAAAGGGTAGGGAAATCAGAAGACAATCTCCCTCCAATCACAAGAGCATGCCAGAGAAATTTCATGCAGAAAACAGAAATGCAGAAATTGCAATACTCAGAATATCTCACCGGGGTGTCGAGATGGGTCGGATTGCCAGTCGCCGCCGCACTCTTGCCTCAACGCATCCTGACATTTCCAAGAGAAACAATACCGACGTTAGTAATGGAGTTGAGCGCCTCGATCACTAACGCCTTCCTCGCCTTTGCGGTTACAAGCAGACCGAAGTTCCGAGAGGCAGCCTTCCCCGGCAACGGCGCCACTGTCAACCGGTGGAAAGGGGTCTGCCGGCTCACCGTCCTGTCCCTATACCTCGCGCCGTGTCTGTCACCCACGGGAGGGATGGTCGGGGCGCCTGTAACCTGCACATGCCACGTTAGTCCACAACCATAATGCTGAAAGCTCAAGCAGACATCTCGCTCACACAATCCGACTCGATAGAAGAGGCATTAGGAAGAAACAGAATAACTGTTCTCATTTAATCCAACTCAATGGGGTCCTCAATGTTGTTCCCAATCCCAGAAGAGGTCCCTGTGTCTGTGTGCGTGGGATCTGTCTGTGTGCCTATAGTTCTGGTCAACAACCTCCGCCTGATCCTCCTTCCGATAGGGTGTCCCTGATACCTTGCCCGTCTATCCCACGGAACTGTACTCGAACTCTCGGTATTAGAGGTCGCTTCTCGGGCCCATCGTGGCCATAGCTCGAGGTCGACTGTGACCATGCCCCCAAATCGCTGGTGCCCGGATCGTCCGATTAGGGATGCGCCCCTCCGGATGTGCCCCCTCGCAAACGTACCTTTTGGTCGTGCCTTTTCGAGAACGTACCCTTTGGGCGTGCCCTTTCACCAAAGTACCCCTTGGTCTTGCCTTCTCGCGAAAGTACCTGTTGGTCGTGCCTTTTCGCGGAAGTACATCTTGGTCGTGCCTTTTCGCAAAAGTACCTCTCCGGAAAGCCTGCTTCTCGAAGTCCCCGCTCGGTTAAAGAGTCCGCCCGGTGAAATGCTCACTTGGTAAAGTGTCCGTTCGGTAAAACACCCCCCCGTCGGTAGAGTGCCCTTCTAGTAGAATGCCCCTCGGTTCGGAATAGTACCTGTTCGGATCGCGTCCCTTCGTGAAGCCCTGTTCATCATGCCTTTGATACGTACATCCAAAGTGTCTTTCCGTCGCGCTCCTTCACTCGCCCTTCCAAGGGAACCGCGCTCTGGTGTCCTCTCCTTAGGCTCGTGCGAATGGCCTCCTGCTCGACGGTTCTTACAGGGCGCTTGCATTCACTCGAGGAAGGGTAGCTTTCCGGTCGTTTGTTCCTTGCAGTACACTGGTGCTCGCCCATGCGAAGAGCTCCTAGTCTGTTCATTCGCTGACGCTCGTTCGTGTGAGAGACTCGTAGCCCGTTCGTTCCTGCAGTACACGAGAGCTAGCCCATGCGAAGAACTCCTAGTCTGTTCGTTCGATGACACTCGTTCGTGTGAGAGGCTCGTAGCCCGTTCGTTCCTGTAGTACACGAGAGCTAGCCCATATAGAAGTTCTAGCTCATTCGCCCCCCGCGGCGTGCTGTCTTACTCGTGTGAAAAACCCCTCATGGCAATGTTTCTCCTCACTAAGCTCGGCGCCTGGGGCTCATGCGCGCGACCAACAGCTCCCGGCCTCGGCGACGACGGCTGTGCGTGTTCGCTCCCGTTCCGAAATTGCGAGTGTTCGCGTGGCTACTATCCCTCGTTCCCGTTGGGGCGCGTGTGCATGTGAATAGACGATGCGGCTCTCCCCGTTATCGCGTATGAGCGAGCGGGCACGGGCAGGGGTGTGCAGTTGCTTCCGCTATCCCCGCAAGTGTCCCAGGCAGGTGCGCAGCGTTGCGTTGCCTTTCGGCTATCACCTGCAAGAGTCCGCTTGTGCGTGCAGCAGCGCGCGGCTCCTTCCGTAGTCTTCCGCAGGTGTCCGCTGGTCAGGGTGTCTGTGCGGTATCACGCACTCGTGGGCGCTTGTCTTCGTTGATTGGCAGATGTCCGTGCGCTGCCCCGTGCTCGCGCATGCTGCTTTGTGGTGCGCAAGTGTCCGTGCGCCTGTTCGCTATTCACGGCCCTTCCGGTGTGCGCTCTCTTCCCCGTTCGAATCCGCTGGTGCGCGGTGTGTGGTGATGCGCAGAAGCGCGCGATGAAGAGCGTGGCTTTCCCCGCCCTGATCTACTAGTGCGCGGGGTCCGTACGCGCGTGCTCTCTTGCGAGCACTCTCCCGTGGTACACTGCACAGCGCAGAACACGTGTGTGCGCGCCTCTCTATTCTCCATCTGGAGTGTCGTGTCATACCCACCCGCGTGCTAGTTCGTGCTCTCTACTGCTTCGCTGTGTGCGCTTCCGTACTCGGGTGCTTGCTTGCGTGCGCTCTCCCGTTCCGCTGCGCGCAAAGCAGCGTGGTGGTGCGTGATAGTGTGCACTCTCTACTAACTCGCCACGTGTGGCGTCGCGCGATGCCGCTCGCTTGTGCGCACTTGGTTCGAATCGGGGTCTGTGCGCGGGTAGCGAGTGGTTGCTCGCTCGAGCGCTCGCCCCTCCTTGGTGTGTCTTTCGCTAGTGCGCGCTCAAGCTCACACCTTGTGTGCATTGCAGTTCGCTCCTTCCTCTCTCCCGTGCGCGTTTCAGTTCGCGCTTGTCGGGCTTTCCTCTCCCGTGTGTCCGCTGTCTGCTGTCAGAAGTGCTCCGCTCGTCCCCTCGAGAAGTTCGTCTGGCCGTGTCTGTGTACGCCGGAAGGCTTGTCCGTGCTCCTTCCCCATTCGTCTTAGATGTGCGTCTCGATTCCCGTACCTCTCCCACCTACGTGCGAGAAGTCCCCCATGTCTCGACCCCGTCGGTATCTTCTTCCCGCGCGCCTGCGCCCTGTACGTGAGGTGTCATCGGGCGCCTGTGCACCGCACGCGGGGAGTGTGCTCTCATCCATCCACGTAAGAAGT